GACCCTCACCCCCCTCCCCACCCCCCCCTTTCTGCATCCATGGGTTATGCATATAGGCACACAAGGTCTTTGGTTGACTACCTTGCTATATTCACTTTCCATGTTCGTTTTGTTTGCTCCCCAGTATCTGCAGATGAAATGGCCGCTGCTCGATGTCCAGGCAGGCACGCTCCAGAGCAGACAAGCCCTCAAGGATGCACGCTCTCCGTCGCCGGCGCACATTGTTGTGAGTGACCTGACAGAGGCAATCGCTTCCTTTATTGGGGGGAAGATGAAGAACATGCTCTTTGGTTGATAACAGGCCTTGTGTGTCAGTCTTTCTTTCTTTAAAAATATTTTGTTTGGCATATTCTTGGATATGGTGTATGTCTAGAAGGTACATGTTTTCTTCTATTGGACCTTAGCGATTATTACCTACCCGGAAAATTTCCCACCTGTCCTTTCTCCTAGCATGGGGTAGAGTTGAGCTTCGTGGGCTCCAGTTAGTAGGCACAATCATCGTGGTGTAGGGCAGACTGGAAATGGTATCAAGGCAGTTTTAAAGACTATAGTACTCCAAAAATCTTTCCTGAAAAAGTCGTTTAGGGGAGGTGAGTGGCAGAGGAGGGAATTAGAAATTAGACTTTTTCCAGCCCCCTACCCCCCAATTTATCTTAATTGTTGGAAAGAAACACTCTACACTAACATCAGAAAAATGTCTTCTGGGATGATTGATTGAACTTAGAAATGAACTTAGAAAGGCTTAAATTAAATTTAATCTGTACATCCATGGCTTTGAAAGCACAAGGTTTAATGAATACAGGAGCCATTTGTTTGTAGTACTAAGAGACTACACCATACCGTGTGTGTCTACATATATTTTTAATGCACTTTCTAAGGATTTTGTAGGCTCGGAAAGTGGAATTTATAAATTAACCTCTTGAGAAGATAGCTCAGCCATATTAGGATATCCTCTCTTTTAGATTTATGTCATGAGCTGGACTTTATACTTTTGAAATAATGAATGGAAGACACTTTTATAACAATTTCATGACAGGTAGAATTATGCAAAGCACGGAATAATTCATTTATTTTTTATTTAAGTATCACAAAATGTTACCCACTAATATATTTTGCCTCCGTGTTACTTGTAGTTTCTAAAAATGGCAAAATGATTTTCTTAAGTAGAAAGATCTCGGATGCATTGTGTCAAAATTCAGGTCAACTGCCTCCTTATTTTGTAGCTTGCTGTAATTGAGAATATATTATTTAACGAATTTGCCTCTGTTATAGGAATATCAAATATATATGTGGATGTATGTGTATATCTATCAGAAAATAATTTATTTCCATAAAGCCACATCTTGGGTCATTGTTTGTGAAAATGTCTTAGGAATTTTTGTTATCAATAAGGCATGTAGAAAAGATTGACATTCTCCAGGAACTTCCTCCTTCCTCTAACCCCACAATGAAATGGATGCTCCTAATTACACATGCTCTTATGATGCCAAGATTTCAGGGCTGGAAGTGACCTTAGCGCTCAGGTAGGCCCAACCTGCTCTCAGAAAAGGAAACAGGCCCAGAGATGCCTTAAGTGACTTGCCCAATGTCACACGCTGTGCTAGTGGCCAGAGCGAGGACTGGACCCGCTCTCTGCTCCCTTCCCGGGGCCTTGTGGAACGTCCTCTCCTAAGGGAGAGATGTTAACTTCCCATGGCTGGTTCTGTTTTGCTCCCTCTCAATCGGGTCATCATCAGGGATGGTGTCATTGGTGTAAAGAAGTTATTGTCTCAGGGTTCTGACGCAGCTTTCTCCTAGGAAACGGGGTGCCATGTCAAACCGTGTGGTAACAATGCCCCAAGATTTTACAGAAGTGTGATTGTCCGAGTCCTCGAGGGGATATGAGGAAGCCCACCCATTGCACGTTTCCTGCCACCCCGAATTTCCCAGCGTGGGTCTAGGCTTTGCTATTTATTTCTCTGCTTTTGGAAATGCTTGGTGCAGGACTCGCCCACATTTTTATTTTATTTTATTTTGTTTTATGTACAAAGATAGGATATTATCTTTAAAATCCCTTGGAGGACTCTTCTCTCTTTGAATGTGGAGAGAAGCTGTAATTCTTAGAAGTGGTTCAGAGTGGACACAGCACCTCATAGGTATGTCCGGGAGGTCCACGGGCCACGCTGGTGAGCAGGAGTGGGGTTTTGGCCATTGGGAGAGGGGTAGGTGACTGTCCTCCTCTCTAACACCTGCCTCCTAAACCCCATAAGAACAGATGCCACCAGTCGGCCTTGAGCACCTTATATTTTCATTTGCAGAATGAACTACCCTGAGCAGTGGTTAAACCTTATTTTTTTCTGAAGCCCCTGTGGATTTTGGTGAGGAATGTAGCCAGAGGAGTTAGGGTTTTTGTTTTTTCCCTCTGCTGTTTAGTCGAAGGCATGTTTACCATGGCAACCACTTGGGAGAACACCACCCTTGAGATGGAGACCCTTGTCCAAAGGGGCCCCAGGTGGCAGCTGTAACAGTAGCTGTTGTGCTTTCTGCTCCGTTCCTGGGGACCTGCCCTGGGGAAGGGCCCTGGTGTGGGGGGTTTGTGTAGGTGGTGGAGGGGCGGGCTCTGGGAGCTGGAGAGAGGAGAAAAGCCATAGCTTGGACAATAGGAAACCAAACTTGTGAAATACTTAATGCTTGTGGCAGCTGACTGGTGTCTTTGGTTATATGAGTCAGCCCTGTAATTGTGCATTTCTGCAATCTTCACCTGACACTAAGGGGAAAGGAGGAGGGGTGTT